CCAGAATAGTCAAGTCTTTTTATCCTAAGTACAGATGAAAATGATTAAAACCTTAAAAGAACGGACCCCCGCGCACCCGGTTTATTAATTGAAGAATTTCCTCTTCCCCAGAACGAGAGGTTCACATGGAAATCGAGGTTGCCTTGAGTAGCGGTGACATTTGAGAAGCAAACGTTTTGCACAATCCTATTTTCTCTTCGGTGCTGGAGGAAATCCTAAAATGGTTAGAAATTAAAAAGAAAAAAAAAAAATGGGATTGGGGGGAAGGAAGGGGAGGGAGACAGGGTCGGGGGTGGGGGGAGAGCAGAAACCATGCATTTTTAAGGAAACCTTCTTTTCATTTCCTTGGAAAGCGTGAAATCAAATTACAGCTCACGCCCCCACCATTATTTTATTTCTACATTGCAAATTCCGTTTTCTGCCCCTTTTCGCCGCCGTCGAGGAGGAATCGCGCCGTCGTGCAAAGTCAGCTAGAAAGGTTACCCCCCCGGGTAGACCACGCATGCCACAGACAGTAGCTTCTAGAAGTAAAAAGTCAAGACTGTCTGGTGCCACCGGGAGCCCGGTGGCCCTGCAGAGCTCGCAGGGCTGCGTCTGTTGGGACAGGAGGCCGTCGGTGACCTGGTCACGGCTTGGAAACCTCTGCCCCTCTCGTGTCTCCGCGCACGACGCTAATCGCCTCTGGCCCTTCGGGGAAGGGAGCTGGCAGGGGTGGCTGCTCTGGTGCTTCCAAAGTCGGGGTCCCTCTCTGCTGGCGACGCCACCCCCTGGTGCATCGTTAATGCTCTGGGCTTAGCGAGGTCAGGAGGTCATGCCTTTGCCATCCGGTCCCCATCCGGTCCCTCGATTGAGGGACCAGCGTGTCTTCCCCTAACTCTCGCTGACCCGCCACTGAGCAGAGAAAGTGGGGGGGGGCCCCCAGGCTCAATGATTCTGCAGGGCACGGTACCCCCTTAGCATCAGATAACATTTCATCCCGGTGTTTTATGTATCCTTACGGTTAGTGTCTACTCACAGCAAGTTTAATGCTTGTTCCCTGGATGGTCACATAAAGTTCTTTTTTTTTTTTGAGACAGAGTCTCGCTCTGTCGCCCGGGCTACAGTGCCGTGGCGTCAGCCTCGCTCACAGCAACCTCCAACTCCTGGGCTCAAGGGATCCTCCTGCCTCAGCCTCCCGAGTAGCTGGGACTATAAGAGTAGCTGTGACTATAGGAGTAGCTGGGACGACAGGAGTAGCTGGGACGACAGGAGTAGCTGGGACGACAGGAGTAGCTGGGACGACAGGAGTAGCTGGGACTATAGGAGTAGCTGGGACGACAGGAGTAGCTGGGACGACAGGAGTGGCTGGGATGACAGGAGTA